TTGGTGTACGAGGATTGGCCGACTGTGATAAACTGCCGGAAGGGGAGGGTCGGGAAGGTTGAGTGTCGGGGAGAGAGAGGAGAGAGGAGAAAGGAGAGAGGAGAGAGAAGAGAGGGTTTGTTCAATTTGAGGAGAGAGAACGAGATTGAGGAAAGAGAAAGGAAGGTGAGGAGAGAGAGATATAGGAGAGAGAAAAGGTGGGGTGAAGTTGTTTAATGAATGGGTCCCACTTAATTTATGTGTTGACCATCTTACCCTTAATTATTGGTCAAATACATATATTTGACCACAGTATGATCAAATAATTACTAAATTGCCATTAATGATTGACCTAGATTGACTTCATCATAACCATTGATATGCTTGATCCCATGGTCTAGACTTGTTCTCATTTCTCGCATTAAGAGTCATTCTCATATGATCCTTTCTCTCTCTCTCTCTCTATATATATATATATATATATATATATATATATATATAATAAGAATAAAGTTAATTCACTTTTAAAAAGTATTTCCCACAAAATATTATTTACCTACCATAAATGGTAATAATTTATTTCATTTTAAATATATATAAAAAGGAAGAATTAATTGCATTCATTATAGTTAGCATTAATCTCGGTTATCTGTTTGCATTTGCATTAGTCAATTGTAAATTCATTTATTTACGTCGATAGTTGTTTTTGTGGATGATTCTCTTTTATTTTACCGCATTTATTAGAATCAACGATTTGGATTAGCATTTGTGTTAGGCCATCTCCAGCCCTTATTTCTACTCTAGCACGGACTTTACTCTATTCTAGAGTAGATTCAAATAGAAATCAAGTTTCATCTCCAGCCCTTATCTCTAGATTTTGCTTAACATTAAATATATTATTTTTTTATTTGTTTTTATTTTTTATTCGCAAATTGGTTATGAACTTGACACACTAATGAGAAAACACTACTAATACACTTCATTTCATTGAATGACACACTTTATCTCATAGAATCATCATATATGACTACTCCAAATTCTATCTATATGTTTTAATTTCCACTAGTTTTCATCCAAATCGCGTGTGAACGATCCACCTGTCATGGTAGACATGGAGGATTAGAGAAATCACAATTCTTAAAATAGTACCTGTATTAGCCAAAATAGTACCGCATCTTCTTCTACGTGGTACCTGTTTCTGATCGATTAGTACCTGCTTTTGTGAACGAAAATGGATTATTTCAATTTTATTCAACATCTACAAAAGTAGTACTAGACATAGAGTTAGATAGTACCAGTTTTATTATGTTGTAGTACCTGATATTGGGACTTCAGTACCACTTGTAATGAACATCTAAAAACACCGAAATTTGGTCTCAAATACTACTTATATGACCCATAATCACTTTCACATTGGATTATATGATATTTAAAATATTATTAATTGAGTTTAATCGAAAAATGGTCATAAACTTGACACACTAATGAAAAAGCCCTACTAATACACTTCATTTCATTGAATGACACTCTTCATCATTTAATTCATATAATAATTGTTAAATATGTATTCTTTTATTTTTACATCAATTTAACTTTTTTATTTTTATTTTGTATATTATATCTCAAAATAATGATATTTTAACGATCTTCGATTGACATCCATATTGTATATATAAAATAAAAATAATTACATCTATCGTTATAAATAAAACTATATTTATAAAAAAAAACAATTTCGAAAATATGAATACAACATAAAATATTTTATAACAAATCTAATAAAATGTAATTCAGTAATATTATACTTATTATTCACATATATTTTTAAATATATGAATTTACAAAAATATTTATTTAATGAAACCACATTGTATTCAAATTGAATTAGAAAGTTTTAAAATGACATTTGTTTTGAAATTTAATAATGTAACTTATTATCAGTTATGTACACCATACGAGTTGTGTACTAATTTTAAATAGACATATTTTATATAAAATATGTCTATTTTATAACAAATCTAATAAAAATAATTTCGAAAATATGAATACAACATAAAATATTTTATAACAAATCTAATAAAAATATAATTCAGTAATATTATACTTATTATTCACATATATTTTTAAATATATGATAAAAATTTACAAAATATTTATTTAATGGAACCACACTGTATTTAAATTGAATTTAAAAGTTTTAAACTGACATTTATTTTGAAATTTAATAATGTAACTTATTATCAGTTATGTACACCATACGAGTTGTGTACTAAATTTAAATAGACATATTTTATATAATTTTGCACAATTTAAATGGTAGTTTAGTACCCAATATCGCGTCTTCAGTACCAACTCCAACGAACATAAAAGAAAATTGAATTTCAGTCTGAAATTATGTTTGTATTACTCAAAATCACTTATACATTATTTTCTATGAATATTTGAATATGTTTACTCGACAATTGGTCATTAACTCAATAGAGCTTTAGTTTTGAAATTTAGAAATTTTTTGATTATATTTTAGATAATTTTCATTTTATGGAAACAAATTTGACTTTTAATTTTAATATAAATAGAAATCATTCATTCATATATCCACAACCGCGACATTCCATATTTAATGCAATTAAAATCACTTAGGCGACACATTCCATATATGAAACTGATAAACATGATATATCACGCATTAAATTGGTTGATATCCTCTCATAATATTTATTTGTTTTCTCTTAAAAAAATAAATTTTGTGCTTAATTTTCAACAAATAAATATTTAAAATTGTAGTTCTTGACGCACGAGGTTTCATAATAAATAATATAATCTTGTCATTATGGTAATTTATATTGAAATTATATTCCTTTTAGTGTTTTAAAATCTTTATAACGTAATTCATCACATTTTGGCTCTTATACTACGCAGCATAAATAGAAATTCGTGTTGCGTAAGCTATTAGAGTACAAAATTTTGTTTGTTAGATATATCAAATATTTGCATATAATAAAATTGATTTGTTAATTTATAAAATTATTTTAATAATATTATATGACACTAAATTTTAGAATAAGATAATAGTTGAGTATTATGATTAATAAATTGAGTGCGGTTATATTTTGGCATGAAATGTCCAAATTTAAATGATATGAGTTTAATATGACATGAAATATCTCAGAATAATCATATTTTGATGAATACATACTGCATATATAAAATAAAAATTAATTATATCTATCATTATAGATAAAACTATATTTACTTAAAAATCATTCCAAAAATATGAATACAACATAAATTATTTTATAACAAATATAATAAAAATCTAATTCAGTAATGCACCATAAAATAATTATTTTATTGCGTTTTAGCATAGATTTTAAATAAAATAAGAAAATTAAGTGCAAAAATACGGACCCCAATTTGAATTAATTACTACTTTGTTTGTTATTCATTATTTTTTATATTCGTTATACATAATTTTACATTAAAAAATAATTTATTTTAAATTTTCGATTGTACAAATAATAATATATTTAAGTACCCGTATAGTACACGGGTATCGTATTAGTTGATAAATATATCCCTCTTGAAAATTAGATAGATCATTGAATAAATAGTTTTTAGTAAAATTTATAATTTAATTATAGAGAATTAGATGATAAATTTGAACGACAGAGTAATATAAAACAAACCTTAAAAATCGTGTGATTAGTGTAATATAGATTTATATGAAATAGTAAAATAGAAATTTTTTATTTGGATAGTTTATACAAAAATAAATTTATATTAATTAATAAAAAGATATAAGTTTTAATATTATACTTATTATTCACATATATTTTTATTAAATATTTATTTTATAGAACCACATTGTATTCAAATTGAATTTTGAATAAAAATTTTAGAATGACACTTATTTTGAAATGAAATAATGTAACTTATTATGAGTTATGTACATTATACGAGTTGTGTACTAATTTTAAATACACATATTTTATATAATTTTACAAAATTTAAATTTTATATAATATTTTAAATAAATTAATATAGCGGGAGTATTACATAGTGATTTCATATTATTTTAATTATAAATATTATTTAGTGAAAATTTTTAATTTATAAATATTAATGAATATCTATTATCCGTGCATCACACTAGATTCATAATAGTTTGTTTCAATGAATTAAAAAACTGATACCTATACTGAAATAAGACAATACCAGTGTTGTAGTAACTCAGTACTTATATATTGTCATTTAATACCGACTTATATGAACAAAAATGAATATATACTGTAAATATTTGTTTACAAAAATGATACCTATAATGTAGTAAGACAATACTAATGTTATTGTAATTTAGTACATATATCTTGTGTGGAAGGAAAGAGAAAGAAAAATAATAAAAAAATGTGTGAAAAGAGAGAGAGAAGAATAATAAAAAAATTAGTAGTAGAGAGAGAGATAGAAATAATAAAATAATAAGATGAGAGAAATGGTAGTGGGATGATGTCAAAATGAAATTTCTTTGTGATTATTTTAATTAGAGAGATTTAAATGAAAGTTGAATAGAGGGGTAGGTAGTGGAAAAGAAAGAACATTTTGGTGGGGACTGACATGTAAGTTGATTAGGGCCTAAAGAAGTTTTAAAGAAGTCACCCGAAAAACTGAACAATTATTAAATGATCAATATGACCTTTTAAAATGCATTATAAGAATAAATACGTGTATTTATGGAATGTATCATCTGCTTTGCCAATAGTGTAATAAATTTTTTAAAAGATACACGTATGTTATTTTCAAAAACCTTATCCCAAAAAACGAGACTTTTAAACTAATTCCACTTATGTATCCAAAAAGGCTCAACTAATTCCAAACTAAGTCCACTTACGTATACAACGCATGTTGAAACACACAATCATTAACTTTTATAAACTCTTTTAGATCATTTTACCCTTTCTCCTCATAAATTTATGAATATTCATGTGATAAGAACATTAATTAGAAAATGATTTAAAAGCACTAGGTTTCACAGATCAAAGGTTGAGGGAGTTGGCCAAACGTGTTCGTATCATGTGATAAGAACATTGATCTCAGTGAGAGAGCGTACAGAGTTTCACTATGGCTTATGTGCTATGAATGACGATGTCAAGGTCGTAATTCTGGTCTTTCACTGAAGGAGTACATTGACTTGGCCATGCTCTCATACGAGAACATAGTTAAACCAAATTCCAGTAAGTTTCTTATTTTCATTGTTATTAATTTGTTTACGAAAAGTAAATTAAAATAAACTAAGGTTGATACGTGTATATGACCTTGTTACTACATTTTCATTGTTAGTTTTGGGCCTGGATGACAAAGCACCAAATTATTGCTCGCTGGAGCGACTATTTTGAGGTGGTACTATTTTGAGGTGGTGTCGTTGGAGCGGTTTGATGCGAATGGAAATAAAAGAAAGGAGGTGCACTTTATGGAGGGGTTAATGTCTGTTGGGTATGGGCCTGGACAGATCGTTCGACTTGACAACGCCATTAAGCAACCAGTGATTAACCCCTTCAAGGGCAAGTATTTGCTAGAATCTGTGATATTCTCGGGTTTTCGAGCGACGTTTTTCTAGCTGAGGTTCTAAGATAACTGGAAATCTTGTTATACCTTAAAGGTTATCATTTTCTTTAATGTTCATTTCTTATTTTTTAGTTTGTTTTCCCTAGATTTGGATGATATTTTGTTGGTATTTTATATTTAAATTTCAGATTAAAATGTTCAGTTCTTTTATATATTATATATAATAGACAGGACTCAAGATTACATAGGAAACAAGAGTACATGTTGGGAAACATCCAATTGCTGATTCATCTTTCTTTTGATCTGATTCATTTTTGTTTTGATCACTTTGAGAAACAAGAGTAAAAGTTAGGTTGGATGATGTTTATCTTTAAATGATGCAAATAAATAAAAGTTAAATCGGCCATTGATCTTATCTAAGTGAAGATTGANGTAACACTAGCAAGACAAACATCATCCAACCCAACATGTACTCTTATTTCCCAAAGTGATCAAAACAAAGATGAATCAGCAGTACACATATCAAAACAATGATGAATCAACAATAACATGTTTCCCAGCATGTACTCTTATTTCTTATGTAATCTTGAGTCATGTCCATTATATAGAATATATAGAAGAACAGAACATTTTAATCTAATATTTAAATCTTAAATACCTACAAAACATCATCCAAATTTAAGAAAAACAAACTAAAAAATAGAAAATGAACATTAAAGAAAATGATAACCTTATATAACAAGATTTCCACTTACCTTAGAACCTCAGCCAAAAAAACCTCGCCCGAAAACCCGTGAATATTACAGATTTTAGAAAATGCTTGCCCTTGAAAGGGTTAATCACTGGTTGCTTGGTGGCGTTGTCAAGTCGGACGATCTGTCTAGACACAAGCCCAACAGACATCAACCCCTCCATAAAGTGCACCTCCTTCCTTTCATTTCCATTCGCATCAAATACATCAAACCGCTCCAACGATACCACCTCAAAATAGTCGCTCTGAATGAGCAAGCAATAATTTGGTGCTTTGTCATCCAGGCCCAACACTAATAATGAAAATTTAGTAACAAGGTAATATACGCGTATCAGCCTTAGTTTATTTTAATTTACTTTTCGTAAACAATAAAAACAAATTAATAACAATGAAAATAAGAAACTTACTAAAATTTGGTTTAACTATGTTCTCGTATGAGAGCATGGCCAAGTTAATGTACTCCTTCAGTGAAAGACCAGAATCACCACCGTAGCGTCGCCATTCATAGCACATAAGCCATAGTGAAGCTATGTACGCTCTCTCACTGAGATCAATGTTCTTAACACATGATACGAACACGTTCGGCTACATGTCGGCCAACTCCCTCAACCTTTGATATGTGAAATCTAGTTCTTTCAAATCATTTACGAGGTCAATTGATCGACTAGCGAACAGTCCGAATGTAGCTTCACCGAAAGTCGCTAAATCCCAGGGTTCGAACAAAGGCCTATGGATCACTGGCTGGCTGAGCTCTCTTTTTTGCTTTCACTTGGCAACTCGTTCGGGCTACTGCTTGTTGATAACACCAGCACAAGCTCCCGTTTTCTCGACCTTTGCAATCAGCTTCGCCATAGGCGAATTTTCGTTGATGTGCTCAGCATCCAACAAGCTCATACCCACGCCAGGCAAGTAGTCAAAAAAGCATCGATCGCACTTCTGCTTTGGCGACTCATGGGATCCCATCTGAAAAAAGTGAATGAGCACATAAGCATTTTCATAAATCAAGAATGTGGACAGACTGAATTAACAACACAAAACCTTATCCCATGCTTCATATTTTAGTTAAAAATTATTTAACTAAAATCAACTCAAGATAAAAATCAAATTAATCTTAACAATCTACTTTCAAATAATTTTTTTAAAATTATTCAAAGAGTGATCCAACAAGAGCTCTCAAACAGACCATGGCGCTGCTGGAATTCTTATCTTCAATTTTTTCATATCTTAAATCCACAACAAAAAAATGAATTCAAAATTTGCGAAACCCTAACTCACTAACCCATACCTGGAGGCTTCGTGTAAGAATACGTGATAATAAAATATTAATTCAGCTTTAAACAACTTTGGTGCCATTTTATAAGAAAAAAACGATGTTTGTTCATATGTTAAAGATAATAAAAGTTACATAGAACACTCAAGGATTTGCATTTATATGTGAGTTTTGTTCTGTCAAACTAATTTGTAAAATTCTCTTCTTGTAATATATTTCTCAATAAAATATAAGATTTGTGTTTTAGTAAATACATAGAGTGATTTTTCTAAAAAGAAAATTACACTTATATCTTGAGATTGCATAACTAATCTTAGCATAATGCTACACACAGACAACATTTATAGGTCTCCTGTAAATTATTATAATCAAACACATGGATACAACACCATAATAAACTAATGGGTTAATTGCCACAAAAATCATAACTTTTGCTTAAATTGCATATTAAACTCAACCTTTTTAATTTTGCACCAAAAATACAACCTTTTTAAATTTTTGCAATTCTGTCTCAATGTTGACTTCCGGCAATGGGCCGCTGACGTGGCCAATCGGAAAAATGACGGGGCAATCCAACTCAATATCTTGTGCCACGTGTATGATCGGAAAACATTTTAAAAGGGGATTGATTGTACCATGGAAGCATCCCGTGCACCAGATAAGCTTAACGCGTACAACTATTTTATTGACTAAGAAAAATAATCTTTCTGAGAACAACATGGGATATTTTTTTTTCATCAAGATTCTGAAGCTTCTTCATCTGAGGTGCAAAACCCCACTGTGATTCAACAACCACAATCACGCTCGACAAACACCACTCCACGCGCAGGTAGATCCACGCGGCCAGGACAAGAGCGGCTAAGGCGAAAGCAAATACCATGAAGTAGATGTTATCGTACTCAATTTCAAACCCTAAGAGCGAGATCCCGCTGTAGAACATCGCCGCAAAACCCCCAAATGCAAGGACGACAAGCCCTAGGATCAATTGGGTGACGATTAGTGTTGCGATTAAGGGGAAAATGGAAAACACGATAGATTTTATCGAGGAAACAAATTTCACCGGTCGGCCGTAGAATCCATGGAAGGTGCTGTACGTGATCGACGAGGTGGCGCAGAGGGAGAGGATGAGGACGAATAGTTCGTAGAGGGTCGGGAGGACGAATAGTTCGTAGAGGGTCGGGTGGACGAGATCGGATTTGTGGATCGGTGGCAAGTCGGGATCCGGCGAGGTCAAGAAGAAGGATAGGGTTTGGTGGTGGTGAGAGAGAGTGGAAGAGGAGCGTGACAGAAGGGTAGATAATGAAAGAGGAGGGAGGAGAGAGAATGTACAAGTGTCTGCTAACGTGGCACAAGATATTGAGTTGGATTGCCCCGTCATTTTTCCGATTGGCCACGTCAGCGGCCCATTGCCGGAAGTCAACATTGAGACAAAATTGCAAAAATTTAAAAAGGTTGTATTTTTAGTGCAAAATTAAAAAGGTTGAGTTTAATATGCAATTTAAACAAAAGTTATGATTTTTGTGGCAATTAACCCTAAACTAATTAGTAAACCAATTAACCAAGCTTACAACTAAATTTTACATCTAACTTAATCGTCATATAATACATTTGAAACCTCATAATGTAGATCTATTGGCCTCATCAAAATTTTTTTGAACATATATAGTAAAATAAAGTTTGAACATTAATGTTTGTTTAACCTTTTCTTCCAGCATTTTTGACTTCATTATTACTAAAAGAAGAGTAATCACGCAATTCTCTCATAAAATTATAAACCGAATATATCAATTAGAAAAAATAAATAAATCAGATAGCGTTATTTACCAATTGACAAATGTATCACGCCATAGATGACATTCGTTGAGCTTTTATTTGGCATGTGAAATTCAAGATGCTAGTATAAAGAATTCAGAGAAACTCATGCAGCATCCCCTCTGTAATGCTTAGAGTAGCAATTGGATCATATCATGAGTACATCAACTCTCATGATGCTCTCAATTAAGTGATGAGCTGAGTAAAAATAATGCATTACAACTGCATAAGATAACAATAATATTTTGTAGCATGCTCGAAGACACATAGACGACCATGAAAAACATATATGCTGCTGAAATGATATTGTGACATCCTCGAGTGCATGTGTTTACAATGTTTGTATGCAAGATGATAGGGAAATTCAAGAATGTAGAAAGTCAACACATGTTGTAACAAGTACAAAGACATTACAAACATTCAGGAATTTAGTATATCAACATATTGTAACAAGTAGAAAGACTCATGGAAATGAAAAGATAGGTT